TCAAGCACTGATGACAAAGCTTGAATTCAGCCCCAGATTAGCTGTAACTCCAGATCCTGTCCTTGGGCCTCGGCTTCCGTTTGGAGTTTTTCTCAGATAAGAGGTCGCCCTGCGGCTGGCTGGCGTGTCTGATCACAGTGGAGCTGTTGTGTCCTTCACCCTGGATGTGTTCCCGGCACTGCAGGGGAGCGCCGGCAGGAAGGTGCCAGCGTCCCAGCTCTGTTACCGTGGTATCGGTGCTGGGCTGCGCCTCCTCCCTGCCCTGGCTCTGGGGGAGGAAGTGAAACTGGCACAGCACAGAGATTTCGCAAGCTGGAGTCTCAGCTTTCCACTGGCCTCGCCAGGACCCACGAGTCCCTGATATCTGAGAGGCTCCTCGGCTGCAGGTTCTGCCCCCTGGCCTTGTTAAGCTGTGCAGGAGGTGGGGGTGGGGGTGGGGGTCTGGGAATTGGCGGCTTTAAGGAAAAAGGGCCCACATTGCCAATGCAAGCATTACAGGCCCTCAGTCATTCCAGCTAGAAGTTTTGTTTTAATACTCATGTTTATATCAGGGGGCTGCGATATCCTGGAGACATGATTCATTTCTCTGCACAACAGGCCCATTGAGTGCCGGGCTGGGGGGGCTGGGGTCCCTGTGGCCCTCTTGTGCTGCTGCCTCCCTCTCTGGACTTGGAGCAGGAAGGTGGTGGATGCGGGAATCTTATTCTGGCACCAGAACATGACTCTGGCATGAGAGCCGAGGCTGGAACTGCAGGGTCCTGGACTGTTTGTGATTCTTCCAGCGCCTGTGCTGATGCCGATGCCAGCTCTCCCCCCTGCGTCTCAGGGGGCCGTCCTGCAGTGTCCGGTCAGCGCGCCTCTGTTGACCCTCTCCTCCCTGTGTCTCCAGCTCTATGTCCAGGCCCGGCTGGTGGCCAAGTGGGCCCGTCTGCTGCGCCCCACGATCCAGTTCTTCCTGATCGCGTTTGCGGTGTACGTGGGGTACACGCGCGTCTCCGACTACAAGCACCACTGGAGCGACGTGCTGGTGGGCCTCCTGCAGGGGGCGCTCATCGCCATTCTCATTGTAAGCATTGATCCCCCCCCCCCGTCTGTACCTCTTTACCTGGGTTCGCTCCCTCTCCACAGGCATGGAGCAGAGCTCTGGGGTGTGTCCCCCCAGGGGCCCAAGGCTTTCTGGGTATTTAAGTCGTACATGACTGAATTAGTTCATTAGAATTGAACCATTTTCCCAGCCCTCCAGCTACTGTCAGTTTAGAGAGGCCTGCTGGAGCCGCTACTGATTAAAGCCCAAAGTCTCCAAACTGAAACAGCAGAGGCGAATTCGAGCACAGCGCGTACACCGGTGCACACATC